TACACCTTGTTATCTCAGATTCTCCAGCATCTGCAGTTCCTACCCTCCCTGTACTATGCTTCTTTTTCCTAGGGATGAATTTTTGCTGTGTCTCCTGAATTACTTCCAGATTCCCCTGCCATTGCTGTTCCACTTTCCTGCTAGGCTCTTCTCCCAATCAATTCTGCCCAGCTCCTCCCTCATGTCTCTGTAGTTGCCTTTATTCAGTTGTAATACCATTACCTCTGATTCTATCTTTTCCCTCTTGACTTGCAGAGTAAATTCAATCATGTTATGGTCGCTGTCTCCTAAGGGTTCCTTCACCTTAAGCTCTCTTATCAAGCTGCCTCATTGCACATCACTAAATCCAATATTGCCTAGTTCCCTAGTGGGCTCTATCACAAAGCCATCGCGTACACATTCCACAAATTGCAATCCACTGCCAACCTGATTTTCCCAGTGCATATTGAAATCCCCCATGATCACGTAACTTTGCCTTTCTTACACACCTTTTCTATCTCCTGGTGTATCTAATGCCCCAGCTCCTGACTACTGTTTTTTTTACTATGTTTTAACTCTAACTATGTTTTTTTTTTACCTTTGTGGTTCCTCAGCTCTACCCACTCAGATTCTACACCATCCAACCCTACTTTGTTTCTTACTATTGATTTAATTTCATTTATTACTAATAAGACAATCCCACTCCCTTTGCCCACCTGCCTATCTTTTCAATAGGATGTATATCCTTGGACATTCAGCTCCCAATCCTGATTCCCTTCCAGCTACATCTCCGTGATGCTCACCACGTCATACCTGCCAATTTCGATCTGCGCCACAAGCTCATTTACGTTATTCCTTATACTGTGTGCATTCAGATGTAACACCTTCAGTTCTGTATTAACCGTCCCACTTCTCATTGTCGCTCATTTATCCAGTGTACTTGAAGTTTGATTCCTAACCCTTTCCAAACACTCTGTCCTATTTGTGTCTGTGCTGGAGACTAATAACCTGTCCTGAGTTCTCCTTTCTGGTCATTTTTTTCATATTTTTCCATGCAGTTGAATCCACCCCTACAAATGTTAACCTGCTGCTTTATTCCCCACTGGGGGAAGCTTTACCCTTTCTTTCCTACTCCCCCCCCCCCAAACTTTCTAGTTTAAAGTCCTATTGACCAGCCTATTTACCCTTTTTTTGCTAGAACATCGGTCCCAGCTCGGTTCAGGTGGAGATTGTCCCAGCAGTACAGATCCCACCTGTTCCAATACTGATGCCAGTGCCCCATGAAATGGAACCCC